CCGACAGGTTTATTTGAAATCACAAGCTTTCAGAGTTGCTGCTCTTTGATGCACTTCACCTGACAAAGGAGCAGCGCTCTGAAAACTTGTGATTTCAAATAAACCTGTTAGGCTATAACCTGGTGTCGTGTGACTTCTGGCATTAATAAGGCATCAGTAAGAAATAATCCCCCTCAATTTGCAATTTGCCTCTGCCTAGCAAGAATCTAATCATACAGTTTGTCAAAAACATAACAGAGTAGAAGCTCCTGATGTAAAGATTGGCCTCACTGGACTTCTCATCCAATCCTGCCATTAATTTCACTACAGTCCATGTCATTCAGAAACCCACTAGATTCCGCCTTTTGAAATTAACTTAATTTGGATTCGTTGTCATTTCTCAAACCCATTGAAACTTCTTCACATTGATTAGCTGTCATTACTAGCTGTACCTAATAGAGTTGAAGAATATTTTATTTTACATTAGAGAGGAACATACTTGCTGATTAGAAAAATTAAGCTTGGCATAGTGAGGAAAAAAACTGTTTAAGCAGCAAATGGTTCAGATCTGGACTGCACTCTCTGACAATGTGGTGGAGGCAACTTTCATCATGACTTTCAAAAGAAAACTAGATCAGAATCAGAAGAGGAAAGATTTTCAAGAGTATGGGGGAAAATGGATGAGTGATACTAAATGCAGTATTCTTACAGACAGCTGGCACAGACATGATGAGGCAAATGGCCTCCTTCTGTGCTGTAACCATTCAATAACTCCACGAATAATTCTACACAGGTAGTGGGTGGTGTCAAAAATCTTGCAGGAGGATCTGATGCCCTGAAAGTTTTTCTACAATAGCTTAATTGTAGTCATTGCTGATACAATATTCTCATATCACTCATGTTTAGAAACTATGGTAGAATGCACCATCCATCCTAACCTCAAACCTACAACAGAAAGCTATAAACACAAGATCCTTAGAGCTAAAATAGTAATTGAACTTAACGGTGATTATTATTAAAAACAAGTATGGAAATTTTGACTGTCAACCATGTTAAATCAATTAGATTGCTGTGATATGAACACTCTATAATAATGGTTTTATAGCACTGCATCTCATTCCTCAAACTATCTTGCTAAATTTTAAATTCAAAAAATATATACTTAGAAAAGGAAAAGCATATGACACTTAAATATGTATGCCTCACAAACTTCCTTCCTGTATTTACTGGTGTACTGATTGTAATAATAACAAACACTAAGGTTAAACATAGAATCCAACTTGGATCGGAACGCTTCAGGTTCCTATATGGAAACTCAACTTTGCATCAGGTGAAATGATGTCCTGAAGGGAATTGGCACAGACACATTATTCCTTACCACTGTTTGTTGGCCACGCTGCACAGAATTTTGATGCCACATTTGTCTACAAAACAACAGTGACTCCACTTCAAACCAAAGCGTTGGCTTTGAAGAGCTTTGGGTGGTCCCAAAGACTTGAAAAGTGTTATGCAAATACCAAGCATTTTTCAGTGATTTCATTTACAAGCCATCTCACAATAAAGTAAAATATCACGTTATAAATAAGCAATTCTAACATGATTAAAGCTTAAAAATACTGTTTGAAATCCTTTGTAAATAAAACTATAAAACAGCTTGGGCGTGTACACAATCAGGTAGAATTATTTAACTTTAGGACAGGTATTCATTCTGACCTTAAAATCTAAAGTAATCTGGCTTTTCGCTATCAGACTAACCATCTTAAAGAAGGGCATAAATTGTACCCTTGAATTATGCCTTTATCATCTCACTAAGACCTCTACAAGGATGTAAATCAGAGTGTTTAGCAAAAGCAAACAGGTAAATCAAAGGCAGAAACAGGAGAAATTACTATGGAGAATAAGAAAATGCGAAATATTAAAGAAATATTTGAGGATCATAAGAGTTTTACAGCAGAGAAAGCAGCCCATCCCAGTCATCAAGCAGCAATCTACTCTAATCCCATTTGCTAACACTGAGCCTATAGCCTTATATGCTAGGCTGTTTCAAATGTTCATCTAAATACTTCTTAACTGTTGTGATAGTTCCCAGCTCTACCACAATTTTAGGCTCTGGGTTCCAGATAACTGCCACCCACTGGATGAAAGAATTCTTCCTTAAATTCACTCTAAACATCCATCAATCAGTGCCCCATGCAACCTGACCCTTTTACTAAGAGGGAAAAGTTCATTCTCAAGACTACCTATGCCTCTTGATCTTGTAGACCTCAGTCAGGTCTCCCCTCAGCCTTCTCTGTTCCAAGGAAAACAATTGCAGTCAATCTAGACTCCATTGACTGGGGAGAGACTCCAGTCCAGGCAACATCTTGATG